AGTCTTCCTGAGAACTGCAGTTAAGATTTTTGTTTGTTTGTTTTACTTTGGGAATTTATGGAAAATTTAAAGATAACATCAGGCATAATGAATGGGTGCCTTATTTCCGCCTGAGAATACTTTCTTTCCCCTTGGCATCTCTTTTGCTCACTCCTATAATCACTGTTTCCAGCCTTCCTACTCAGTTATAATTTATCTGTTTTATGTATCAGAAAATTCAACCAAACTAGCTTCCTGAGAAAAGGGAATTTATTTGCTGTTTAACTAAATATTTCAGTTAAGAGTTAGTGTCAAGTCTAGAAGAACCCAGGACCCAACCACTGTTAGTCACCAAGCCTGGTTTCTTGGCTCCACCTTCCTGGTGCTGGCTTCATTCTTGGGTTCCACCTACTTACAAGTTGATGGCCAGGTGATTTCAGTTCCTCTATCTTCCTAATCTCATCCAGTGTATTTCCCAGCAAAATTTCCCTTTTTACTCCATCAAGGTTCAAATCTGTCCCTGAGTCAATCATTCTGTGCAGAAGAACGTGAATTCTGATTGATCAGACCTGAGTCACGTGCTTAGAGTAGATTCAGCTTTCATAAAGTACATGGACTGAGAATGGGAGTTGGAGGGGGGTTAAAGTGGTTTCTTGGAGGGAAATCAAGGTCTGGGTACCAGAAGGAAAGTGAATAAAGGCAATAGCAACCATTTAGCACCCCACCTACCATGACTCCTCCCTCTCATTTTCAGCAAATGATCTTCATTTTTACCGCAAGAGACCATACAGTTAACTGCCCTTTCCTCATCTCTCCATCTAGCTATTCTAGCCCCCACCTTTACTTCATTTCCTGTCATAGCAGGGCTTTAGCATCTGAGACACCATCCAAGTGGGTAATTATCAACTTGAATCCTGTTCTTTAATTTCTCTGGGACTTTACTTCATCAGTTATCTTATTTCTCCAATTTATTTACTCCTTGGTTTTCTCACATAAATCTATTCAAAGTTCCATCTTTACCAAAGCTCCTCTTGACCTTACAACTCCTTTAGGTCCTCAGCCAGTCTTGCTCCTTCCCTCATAACCAGATTTATAAATGATTTTTTTCTCTATTAATTTCTCTTTCATTTGCTCCTAATTTTATGACAATATGACTTCTGTCTTTATTAAAATTGCTATGGTTAACATTACCAATAACCTTAAAAGGGAACCAAAACATTTCCTTTTAGTCTCTCTCATTTAGTTTTTATTGACCTCTCAGAAGAAACAGACACCAACATATGCTTTTAACATCTCCTCTCCTGCAAATTTCCACTTCCACTGCCATTCAGGATTCTATCATCCCTCCCCAAATATTTCTAGTTTTCTACACATGATTTTCTTGCAATCAACTCTCCTCCCTTGAGTACAACTGACTACCATCACCAGTTAAAATTAAAGAACTAAATGTGATCATCTTACTTCCTTTTTAAAACCTTTTATTGAAACCCACAAGATTAAACAGCTTTCTACCCTACCATTAGATCAAGATATCAATTGTGATCAGTGGTGAGATGAGGCAAAGTAATTTGTTACCAATAAAATATCTAATACTGATAAAATATTTAGTTTTCTCTCTTTTTGCCCTTTTACTTTTCAATTAAAAATATATATCAAAAAATAGATGTCAAGATGATAATTTTATTTAAAAAAAATAACTCCCTTATTTGCATTTTAATATACTACCATAAAGAAGTCTGAGTGCAGAAGAACTAATGCTTTTGACGTGGTGCTGGAAAAGACTCTTGAGAGTCCCTTGGACAGCAAGGAGATCAAACTAGTCAATCCTAAAGGAAATTAATCCTGAATATTCATTGGAAGGTTGATGCTGAAGCTGAAACTGTGATACTTGGGCCACCTGATGTGAAGAGCCAACTCATTGAAGAAGACCCTGATGCTATGAAAAATAGAAGGTAAAAGGAGAAGAGGCCAGCAGAAGATGAGATGGTTAGATAGCATCACCAACTCAATGGACATGAATTTGAGCAAACTCCAGGAGATAGTGAAGGACAAGGGAGCTTGGCGTGCTGCATTCCATGGGCTGCAAAGAGTCAAACACAACTTAGCGACTGAACAACAATAAAATACTACCTTAACTGGAATTGAACTAGAAGAATGTATAATCAAAGTACTAGAGCTCATAGATAGCTTTCCTTATATGCATGAGTGTATCCTATACATATGAGCATCATCTATTAATTGAGGCAGGAAAAAAAAAGTTTGAAAACCTACAGCTTAGCATACAAAGTCCTTCAAAATCTGAAACTTCTTCTCTTAGTTTTGTCCACTGTCCCTGCTAATACCCTAGCCACAGCAATTTTTTGTTTAACAGTTCCTAAGATGTTTGAACTGTGGTGTTGGAGAAGACTCTGGAGAGTCCCGTGGACTGCAAGGAGATTCAACCAGTCCATCCTAAAGGGGATCAGTCTTGGGTGTTCATTGGAAGGACTGATGCTGAAGCTGAAACTCCAATACTTTGGCCACCTCATGCGAAGAGTTGACTCATTGGAAAAGTCCCTGATGATGGGAGGGATTCGGGGCAGGAGGAGAAGGGGATGACAGAAGATGAGATGGCTGAATGGCATCACTGACTCGACGGACATGAGTTTGGGTGAACTCTGGGAGTTGGTGATAGACAGGGAGGCCTGGCGTGCTGTGGTTCATGGGGTCGCAAAGAGTCAGACACGACTGAGCGACTGAAATGAACTGAAATGAGCTGAAGATGTTGTATGTTCTCCCATGACACTGTTGATCCCTTCTATCATCAATGCACTCACATCACAAACTCCTACTTACCCCTTGAGATTCAGTTTAAATGTCACTTCTTCCATGATGCTTTCTTAGCCTCTCATGAGGTGTAGGAAATGGCAACACACTTCAGTACTCTTGCCTGGAAAATCCCATGGACCGAGGAGCCTAATAGACTACAGTCCATGGGGTCGCAAAGAGTTGGACATGACTGAGCGACTTCACTTCATTTCACTTCACTCACGTCATGAGGTGTATCCCTTCTGCTAGGAAGGCAAGAATCTGTGAGCCACAGGACAAAAGAAACTGAAGAATTAGTAGTACATTCTCAGTTTCCATGTATTTGGCCTCACCAAGTTGAAAACACAACTTAGTGGTGGACCTGTTGATATGGGAAAGACTAGAAACTGAACCATCTTAGAAAGTGAAGGTGAAAGTCATTCAGTCATGTCCAGTTCTTTGCGAACTCATGGACTATACAGTCCATGGAATTCTCCCGGACAGAGTACTGGAGTGGGTAGCCGTTACATTCTCCAGGGGATCTTCCCAACCCAGGGATCAAACTCAGGTCTCCCTCACTGCAGGCAGATTCTTTATGGGATGAGCCACCAGGGAAGCCTGAACCATCTTAGAAGGTTGACTCAAACTGTAAACCGAGCCCACTTTATTGACCTGTTCCTGGGGGCCACTAAAGGCTTTCAACCCATAATGCATAATGTAAGAAGATGGCTCAGGGACACTTTGGGGGCTACCTGACAAGCCAATTTATGCTGAGTTATGCCCCTTGAACTGGTCATCTGCATCGCAGACTCTTCCAAAATTAAAGTCGAGTGAATCAATACAAGGTGAATGGTAGAAAAAAATCCAAAGTCAGAGAGAGGGGTGGAAGCCTCAGTCATTTATAAGCTGCATAAACAGGATAACTCACTACTGCATCTGTAGATAACAAGCCCTTTGTGGGCTTTATTCAATGGCTTAGAAGCTTTGGAAGCTGGTTCTTTCTAGTCGAAAAATGAGTTTTCTAACTTCTATTGGTGTATGCTAAAGTGTATTCTGTCCTTTCTATTCTTCCTGAAACTGCTTTCTTTTGAGGTTGAGAATTCCCTGAAGGATACCTAAGTATTCAGGAGCAGAAATGTAACCCTATGTGTTATTGTTGGTCACTATGGCAACCATCAACATAAACAAAACCACCCCCACAATCTCCGTTCTCAACCCATTCTCAAAATACAAAAGATACATCAGGGGCATAGCCATACCTAATGTGAGATTAGACATACTGGGGGCTGGGAGTACTGATAAAGATCTTTACTGTCTCTTTCAGATATGGCAAATGCAACTGACTCTTCTGAATAATCAGATGGATAGTCTTACCATCAGAATGCACAGAATTGTACAGATGTACATGTATCTGTTTTAAAAAATAATTCTGTATTTTTTTTAAACAATAGAAAACTGTAAAGTGGAAAATAAATAAAGGAACCCACAAAAATGGGAGTTCCTATAGCAAGTCTGGCATCCTGGTACACAATGATCTTTTCCTACTGTCTGGCTCACATCTCACGATTTTCTTCAGTTTTTCATAATCATTTTGCCATCTTGATCATGCAACAAAATTGTCTTAACATCAAAGAAAATATACTATTTGGAGTTCTCTTTAAAAACACAGATGAATAAGCAGTATATAAAAATGTTTAGGTATTTCCATAGAAGGTTTCCACTTCCTTCTAAGGTCCTATAAAAATAAGATTCTCTACCTTAATAGCAATAGAATGTATGGAAAAGAGAGACAGCCAAAAGCACCAGAAATGAACTTTTAGGAATATCAATTCTTTGCCCCTGTTTTAGGATCATAGAGAAAATTAAGTGACTTCTACAAGAGGAATATTTCCCAGAACTCTATACTGGGAATTACCCTAAAGGAAGACATCATTACTAAAGGAACCTATTTCCTGTAAGTTTAGTCGGTATAAAATATAATGTAAAGCCACACCTATGTATTCTGCTTACCTCTTGTTTTACACAGGATAATTAATGGGTGAAGTATGTTTGTCTTTTGAAATTCTGATGACTTTGTCTGATACTATATAGGTCTATAGATAACTAGCCATATGTTCTTAAGTAAAAACATGAAGCATTACAATGAAACCAAAGCAGTGGGTGGCCACAGAAGTTTATAGCCAAGGATATTTAAGATCAAACTGTAAGGAGGCGACTTTGTCTTCCTCTTCAAACCGTCTTCTCCAGATCGCTCAGTTTTCCTTCTAGCACGTTCCTTTTATCAAAATACTTTTCCTCTGAAAAAAAGAGGCCTGATCTCAGTCACACACATCTTTCTCTAAAAGTTTATGTCTGGTTTGGTGACAGAAATACTGTTTTTGGCATTTTAATCCAGTTGTCTAATGGAGTAAAGGGCAGTTACCCCACTAAAGAATTTCAGGCATAAGGGAGTAGATGGGGAATTTGAGGGAGGAAAAAGGTACTTTCCAGTCACAGTCTAAAATTGCAACAATCCTGCTCATAGAAAATTCTCAGTGCCTGTGCTAGAGGAAACCTAGCCCAGTTTGGGTTGAATGCTTTGAAACTTCAACTATACTGCTTTGTGTCTTAGTAAGTTTTCTGTTCTACTGTTAGGCATACCAGTATCATTATACTTAATTAAATTCAACTGCATAATATTTTTGTGATTAATGTGTGTTTTTACTTTCCAAATGACATTTATTTGTCATTTGTACAGAAAAACAGGAAACCATTCAGATGGTAAAGTCCCAGTTTTCCTCTGATCACAGCACATTTCCTCTTCTCTCAGCTCTGAAGTAGGATCATTTAACCATTATTTTTTCCCTATTTCTGCCACCTTCAAAATAGTTGTTTTTTTATTCCTCTGTCTTAGCTTCTCTTCAATTGATGCTAGATATCAAACTCCCTTTAGCCTTCTTGTTTTCCTGTGAACTCTAGTATAATTTTTTGGCTACTTTATCACATAGTAGTAGTATATTCTCCCTTAAAGAGCTATTTCTATTTTTTCTTATTCCTCTTATGTGGTCTTTATTATAAGACCCTTATGAAAAAAGAGCTCTGTTTCATCTTTGTATTCTAAAAAACTTACACCATGAATTCTTAAATTGTAGTTGCCCACTATATCTAGATTTGAATTAATTAAGGATTAATTATGAGGCTTTTTAGGGCTTCCCTTGTGGTTCAGCTGGTAAAAAATCATCCTGTAATACGGAAGACCTAGGTTCAATCCCTCAGTTAGGATGATCCCCTGGAGAAGGGAAAAACTACCCACTCCAATATTCTGACTGGAGAATTCCATGGAGTGTATAGTCCTTGGGGTCGCAAAGAGTTGGACACAACTGAGTGACTTTCATGAGGCTTTTATGACTTATATTCCGAATATACTAAGAACCCTTAAAACTCATCAATAGAAAACAAGTAACCCAATTCAAAAAATGGGCAAAAAAAATCTGAACAGACATTCTAATATAGAAGGTATAAAGATGACAAATAACCATAAGAAAAGATGCTCCACACGATATATCATTGTTATTACTGCTGTTGTTCAGTCGCTAAGTCATGTCTGACTCTTTGTGACCTCATGGACTGCAGCACACCAGCCTTCCTTGTCCTTCACCATCTCCCAGAGACTGCTCAAACTCATGTCCATTGAGTCAGTGATGCCATCCTTTGCAAATTAAAACAACAATGAATACCACTATACACCTATTAGAATGGCTAAAACCCAAAACATTGGCAAAGATACAGAACAAGAGGAATTCTCATTCATTGCTGGTGGGAATGCAAAAAAATGATACAGCACTTTGGATTGCAGTTTGGTAGTTCCTTACAAGGCTAAACATAGTCTTACCATTTTATCCAGCCATCACACTCTGAGGTATTCACCCAACTGATTGAAAACCTATGTCTACAAAAAAAAAAAAAAAAAAGACTTGAGCAAGAATGTTTATAGCAGTTTTATTTATACTTGCCAGAAATGGAAACAAACAAGAAACCTTTAATAGGCAAGCGCATAAATAAACTGATGAATCCGTTTGATAGAATACTGTTCAGTGATAGAAAGAATGAGCCACACAAGGATATGGATGCATTTTACATCCATGTTGCAAAGTGAAAGAAGTCAATCTGAAATAATACTGTATTATTTCTATTTTCGTGACATTCTGGAAGAGGGAAAATAAACACAAAGTAAAAAGATCAGTGTTTGCCAGGGGCTTTCTGTGGGGAAGGTGAGTGGTTTCAATAGGTGAAATACAGGGGATGTTTTAGGGTGGTGAAACATGCTCCATGGTGCTGTAGCATGCTGACACATGTCATAACATGGGTAAAACTTAAAGACACTATGCTCAGTGAAATCAGGCAGTCACAAAAGGACAAAAATAATATAATTCCACTTATGCTAGGTATCTAGATTAATCAAGTTCATAGAGACAGAAAGTGAAATGACATCTCCAGGGACTGAATGAAATGGTGAGCTGCAGTTTAATTGGTACAAAGCTTCAGTTTGCGACGATAAAAGCATTCTGGAGATGGATAGAGGTGATAGTTTCACCATAGTGTGAATATACTAATGCCACTGAACTTTACACTTAAAAATGGTTACATTGGTAAATTTTATGTTATGTACACTGTGCACACACAAAAAATTTCTCTAAATTTTTGTTCTAAAAAAATGAGTGAAAACTCTTTGCAGGTAAAATTAGACCCTCTTACTATAATAAATATTTAAGAACTAATACTTCACATATCATGTAGTTCTTGCCTTAAGCAGAATAGCAGGTAAAGCACCTAACATACTGCCTGGTATAAGACGGAGTTTAGTAAATGATTAAGCTACGTGATTATGGCTATCTATCATATGAAGTTTTGACATATGTTTTTGCTGTAAGTGTGATCATATGGAGTTTAGTGGCTGTATGGCGTGGGTCTATATAAAGCTCTAATCTCTTTTGGTGCCCGTTGGGTCCACCCATTTCTCAAACAGAGAACTCTAAATGAGAGGGAAATCATTTTGTGGACTACTGACTGGGAGTCTGTCTCTTCGGTTTGACAATGCAAGGTCAGAGTGCCTCAGAAGGAGGCTAGGTCACAGGTGACCTGGAGGTTAGGTCACAGGTGATACCCAGCCTTCATCTAGAGACAGACCTAGCATCGGAAGTAAGAAGTTGAAGCAAGGTGTCTATGGAGTTAAATAAAACTTCGTGAACTAATGTGTTTCTGGAACATTATTTCCTATGTGTATTTTTTCTCTTTGTTCTATTTGATAACTTTTTTAAATGTGTCAGTAGATCTCAATTATATTACAGAAAACACAAAGCAAGGGGTTTTCCATGTAGAGATCTAACATGAAAGGAAGTTCCATGAACTGAGAAAGCCAGCTTGACAACACTGGTGGGAGTCAGCATGAGAAGGACCCAGTGAGGGAAACTCAGGAAGACAGGGTCAGGCACTTAGAATCAGATAAACACCTCCTTAAACATTGATTCCTAACATCTGGCCAAAGAGGTTCTGTGCTTTAAGAGAGGCAATAGGGCTTCCTATGTGGCTCAGTGGTAAAAGAATCTGCCTACCAATGCAGGAGATGCAAGTTTCATCCCTGGGTTGGGAAGATCCCACACAGTAGAAAATGACAACTCAGTCCAGTATTCTTGCCTGAAAATGTCGATGGGCAGAGGAGCCTGGCCAGCTATAGTCCATGGAGTTGCAAAGAGTCAAGCACAGCTATGCATGCTCACCATGTTTCCTTGTTGTTCGATCACTCAGTCATGTCCAGCTCTTTGTGACCCCATGGACTGCAGCACATCAGGATTCCCTGTCCTTCACTATCTCCTAGAGCTCGCTCAAACTCATGTCCACTGAGTTGGTGATGCCATCCAACCATCTCATCTTCTGTGGTCCCCTTCTCTTCCTGCCTTCAATCCTTCCCTGCGTCAAAGTCTTTTCCAATAAGGTGGCTCCTCCCATCAAGTGGCCAAAGTATTGGAGCTTCAGTTTCATCATCAGTCCTTCCAGTGAATATTCAGGTTTGATTTCCCTTAGGAGTGACTGGTTTGATCTCCGTGCAGTCCAAGGGACTCTCAAGAGTCTTCTCCAGCACCACAGTTTGAAAGCATCAATTCTTTGGTTCTCAGCCTTTTTTATTATCCATTTCTCACATATGTACATGACTACTAGAAAAACCATAGTTTTGACTATACGTACCTTCCTGGACAAAGTAGTGTTGCTGCTTTTTAATACACTGCCTAGGTTTGTCATTGCTTTTCTTCCAATGTTTCCTTATATAACACTTTATCTTTGAAAGAGGAAAGTTTTCAAAATGCTCTGGCCTGATGTTTAAACTTCTTTTAAAAAATTTATTTATTTATTTGGCTGCATTGGGTCTTAGTTGTGGCACTCAGGATCTTTGTTGCATCATGTGGGCCTTTCTTTGTAGTGTGTGGACTTGACTGTGCCTGCTTCAGTAGTGGTGGTGTCCAGCCTTACTTGTCTTGGAGCATGTGAGATCTTAATTGACCGACCAAGGATCAAACCTGCATGCCCTGAATTGCAAAGCCAGTTCTTAAGCACTGGACCAGCAGGGAAGTCCCCTGATGTTTACATTTTTGGATTCATATATTTCAAAGAGAAGTAGAAACTCAAATGAAACAAACTCTGTGCTGTGCCTCTTACAGGCTTTGCCAAGTCAAATGTGCTTGTAGTACAATTTCATTCCACACCATACACACACAACAAAAACTTCTTGAAAATTATTATCAAAGGGAGTGTGGCAACTCAGTATCTTGATTTCATAGAAGGAAGTCAAACTGAAAATTCAAGAATTAAAGAAATCTCAGTAAGAAAGGATCTCTCACTTTCTTCTCTTTTTGTGAAATTCTCTGTAATGGCTTCTGATATTCCAACTCCTCTGCTTTGATTTAGAAGTTTGCAATCCTAGAGTCAGAGAGGGACCAGCTTATTCAAAGCATTTGAAAGGCCATACTACTTCTAGAACACCAATTTCATTTATTTGTTCTGAATGTTTAATCATCTATTTTGAGCTGATTATCTTAAGCTATTAGATAAATATAACACAAAACAGAAGAGATAAACTGAAATGAACATTTTTAAAGTGAGCAATCTATTCTGGAAATTCTGAAGTGAATGTTTTTGGCTAGAAGTTTTCTTATAGGAATTACGAAGAGTAGATTTATTCTCAAAAAATGGTAGATCGTTTGGTAGGCTTCTTGCTTTCCTTTGACTTAAAAAAAAAAAATCAATGTAGAAGTTATATCACCAAAAAGGCAGCCTAGGACACCCCTGCCTCCCTCCCACAAAATTAAAAATTCAGCAACTAGTCACAAATTAAAAACAGCTCTGGGGAGCTCTGGAGTCTGTTTAAGAAACTTCTGCAAACACAGTGGAACAAAAAAGGAAGACAGTTGTGTTTTGCCTGCTTTTCCCCATCTCAAGCTGGCATTGCTCAGGACCAAGAGGGACCTCCCCAGTTAAAAAGTTTCCGCTCACCAGGAAAGCACAGTGAGCAACCAGCCTCCCCAGCCTTTGGGGCTCGGCGCAAAGGTCCCGCTTTCATCTTACGCCACCCAGACCATTAATGCTGAGACATACAGAGACGGCTAGGAACAGGAAGAAAAGCAGAGGCTGCCACTAGCAGCCCACAGAGGGAGCAATCATAGTTCACAGCGACCTGCTTTGCAGACAAACCCAGCATCATTTACCATTGAAAAAAACCAATGGCCAGAAGAACTGCTGTAGACCTCCTGTAGATCTTACTAGCATTTGCAGCACAGGTATTTGTGTCCACTGGTGCCAGTCACATAAGGCCCTTCCTGCTCTCTCCCGACTGCCCCTACTGGAGCCCAGAAACCGCACTGGCAGCCAACCCAGTCCTCTGATCTGTGAGAATGGAAGACACCAGCTTAGAACCCCGTAACTGACTTCTTCATGGTGCATGTACCCCAGCCTGACATCTGTGTCCTTGTACACCACTGGCCCGACACCTGTCATCAGATTCCACGGCCATGTGCCTGCCTGGGGAGAGATTGTAGAGCAAGGAGAGACCATGTCAACAGCCAGGGTCCCCGAACTGTTTTGGGGCCTGGATCAAGCCCTATCTTCTGTCTCTGGTCAGCGTCACTGTGCTCATCATCAGCTAGCAACTTCACCTGAGCACTTGCATGCCCTTAGCTTGACCTTCATCATTGGTCTTCATGCCATAAACCCATGGTGAAACCCACTAGCCATGGTACTGCTTACTGACAGCCAGAGTCCCTACATCTGTCAGTCTACCCAGAGTGGGCCCAAGCCCTTTCTGCACACTCTGGTTCCCACCACTGAATGTGTGTTTGAAACCACTCCCTATCACTACACAGGCATCTGAAGCACACCACTGGCTTCAGCCACTACTGCTGCCTACTCTGGTCCCTGTGTGTGATTAAAGTTCAGTTGCTATCAGCATAAAGTAGACTACTATTTATAAGATGCTTTATGTAATACTTGTGATAAAATAAGAGTTTACTGTATGTAAAAGAAGATTTTAAAATGGATTAAAAAAAGAGATAAACCACTACAATATTCTAAAGTAATTACCCTTCAATTAAAATAAATTAAAATAAAATAAATAAAATAAATTAATTTTTTTAAAAAGATAAAGAGAAGGGAATCAAAGCACATGCCACTATGGAAATCACCAATCCAGAAAGGAACACAGCAAGAGTGAAATAAAGGAACAAGGAACCTATAAAACAATCAGAAAGAAATTAATATGGTGAGGTTAGTAAGTTTTGAGCTATCAATAATTACTTTAAATGTAAACAAATTAAATTCTTTAATCAAAAGACATAAGTGTGGCTAGATGGATCAAAACAAAGACAATTGCATGCTGCCTACAGGTAATTTACTTCAGTTTTA